GGACACACATGCATGCAGACAAACAGGAAACAGGAGCCCTCCCCCCGCTCCTTATTGCTGAAGGGGAAAGGAAGCCAGGGATAGTGCAAGCAGAGGCAGAGCAGACCTTCATCCAGCATGCTTTACTGCATCGACACACACACCCACACTATCTGCCTTGCTTTGCGTCTCAGAAATGCTGCATGACAGTAAACAACCTTTAAGTTTGCTATTGGGAATTAATTTCTATGCATTTCATTAACTGTTTTGTTTGCATTTCTGACAAGAGCTGAGTATAAAGAGCGCTTGGAGATTTTGTGTGTGTGTGTGTGTGTGTTATATTTGTCATTAATTTGCCAAATAAGCCTGATATTGATTATTGCCATGGTTTCCTACAGGTGAAAGCTTTTTTTTTTTCGCTGCCAAGATGACCGAGAACGTTGTGGTGCAGAACAGGTTGACATGAGAGGCTTGATGATGCTGTGCTCAGCAGTCTCCTCTGTTTCGTTGTTGTCATTCCGTTTGCATTAGTTTGACACATGCAGCTTTACTTTGCGCAAAGAAAAAAAAACTTGCACTATAATTTTTTTTAATTATTTACAGTGATGCACTATAATCTTTAGATGATATCATGTTTTATTTATTACACTCTAAATGGCCATGGTTACTGATGCCTTGGGAATGGAAAAAAATGCAATCATTCTGTTTTCAGCCATTTGTTATTTTACAATTTTATGTTTGATAAACTTGAAAATAACTTTTTACTGTTATTATATCTACATATATATATTTACACAAATATATATATATATATATATATAAAGTCAATGTATAAAAAAATTTTGTTTTCAATATTACTGTGAACATGGTATTTACACTTTGTTACATCTTTTGTTTTTCATTTTGGGACAAAGGACCATTGGTTGAAAACAAGATGCCAGATTTTTGATGGACTGTTTCACTGTTTAACTTAATTATTTTCTATATGGAGAAATAAAAATTTGATTTATTGCTGACATCTTTAATCTGCCTCTGTGGATGGTTTATGTATTGACCCCTCCAATCATTTTCAGTATACAATAGACTAAAGAAAACCCACTAATATGCACCAAGGTGAAATGTGTTGGGCAACACTATAGTTCTGCAGTTGAAGTAGAAGCTGATTCATCAGCAGAGACTTTTAGTAAATGTACAAAATGTTGCATGACAAAAGACTGTAAAATTAAACTTGTGATTAGCAGGTGCAGTGATGCTGTAGGGATTTTATGAGCTTTTAACTGTGGTCCAGTGAATCATATGACAGTTCTGTACTATGATCACTTCAGTAGCTTCAAAGGAGTTGTGTAATGCTGCAAACCAGTGCCATGCACTGTCCAGCTGTGGACATTTACACTGTACATTATCATCCATCAATTCTTTTGAAAACTGTTAGTGTATGTGTATATTTCCTGATATGGCTATTTTTACTGTTTTAGCATCTTGTAATTAAGATTATAAGGGCTGCAAATACAAGTTTACATGTGCCAGTCGCTACACAAACTAACACTGAGACCACAGTAAAATGGTGCTTCGCTAAAAGTTGCAATACCAGAGTGTAAAAATTATCTGACAAGTAAAAGTCCTACAAGTACAAAAGTATTTGCATCAATAGGCTATACTTAAAGTACTGGAAGTAAAAGTACTCATTATGCAGAATGGCACACTTTACATTAATCTATATCATATTATTGGATTACAATTACTGAAGTTCATCACATTTAATGTTGCAGCTGGTAAAGGTGAAGCGAATTTTAACTACCTTGTATACATACATTTTGAAATACTGCTGGGTAGCTTGTGAATTTCCCACCTGGGGTCAATAAAGTTTAATAATTATACTCTCTTTTGTATATGTAATATGATTCTGAAAAGTAGCTAGACTAAAGTTTTAAAATGAATGTAGTGCAGTAAAAGATACAATTTTGGTGAAGAGTGAAGTGGCAGAAAATGAAAACAGTACAGATGTACTTTACTTGAGTAAATGTACTTCTTTCCACCACTGCTTTAATGCAGTATCCTTATTTCATTTATTTAGTATAGTAGTTTAAATATTTGTATATTCTGCAGAACGAACAAAATGTGTGTTGATGTTTTCTGACCACAGGAAAGAGCGTTTTCTCAGAAATCATCCCGTGCAGATCGACGTTCACCACGAGCTGATGACACATGAGTTCACGTCACTCTTACAATCACATGACTGTTTACAGCGAGGCCCCGCCCCCGAGCCTCTTGATTGGCTGCTGCGGGAGAATTCCTGACTATTGCATTCCTGACTTCGTATATTAATGTTTTCACCGAGTGGCTCAAGGTGTCCCCGTATTTCGCCGCTGGTTTCTTCGTACAGCACATCTTAGAACAGGTACAACGAACAACATGTTTCAGTCTTTGGTGGCTTTTTTTAAATTCCGTTGGGAGTTGTTAGGAATTATGCCTCTGTCACCTTCATTACTGTTTAAAAGGCGGTTGTTTTGTTAGCTTGTCGCGCTACCAGCTACTGTAGCTAGGTTCCGGGAATGGGTATCATCATCATCATCATCATCATCATGTGACTTCCAGGCATTCAGCTGGCGTGTTTGTGTTATTTTGGTTGTTGAGCAGTATAGTTTGGTGGTTCACTCCACAGTTCAGCCAGGACACATGAATTTAATGTAAGAGTGGGTTTGTTGAGAGAACTGTGATCCTCCCTGTCATCCCTCCAGGACTCGACATAAAGAAAGAAACATGCATCAACCAGTCCTCCTCGCCCTGCTCGGCCTGAGCCTGGGGCTGGTGACTGCATTTCCTTCCGAGGAGCCAGACAGTGGGAAACACTGGGTATTGATCGTAGCGGGCTCCAATGGCTGGTACAACTACAGGCACCAGGTGAGAGGACACTTTTAACTGCGTTAAACTGCTGCCACAGTGTCACCTTGCCAGGTGTAAACTGTGTCTATCCCAATTATTAGCCCTTATAATCCTCACTGGTATTTGATAACTTCTGCCTTACCCTATGATAAGGCACTTGCCTTTCACAGTGCATGTTATCTCAGATTTTTCCAGCCTCCTTAAGGGCTCCTAGGCTGATTGTGATAATGTGCTGCTGACCTCTACTGTCGCCCCTCTCAGGCCGATGCTTGCCATGCCTACCAGATCGTTCACAAGAATGGCATCCCAGATGAGCAGGTTGTGGTTATGATGTATGATGACTTGGCTGAGAATGAAGCGTGAGTTGGCCTTTTTTTTTTTAGAAGCTTATCTTCATGATGCAGAGACTTCTTCTCTTCCCACTTTACTTCTAGATCTTGACCCTCAGGCTTCCTCCTTTGCATGTTAGTAGCCCCAGTTGTGTTGAACAAAGTTTGTGCATATTAAATCTTTAGCTCAGAGTGTAATTACAGAATTTTAAACACCAACTCAAAGGGCTGCAGCTGAAGATTATTTTCATTACTCATCAAAATAATTTCTTTTTTCATTGATGTTGTGTGAACAACAGTCCAGAACATTACAGACACTCATTTTACAATGTATATAAAACACAGAAAAGCAGTAAATCCTCATGTTTGAGGAGCTGGAACTGGTGTATGTATATATATATATTTAATTCACAACTGAGTTAACTAAATGATGAATTAATTATTGTAAGTTGTTTATTTTCTGTCCACTGACTAATCAGTTAATTGACAAATTGCGTCATCCTGTGTGTGGACAGAAGTTTCAGATAAGAGGTTTTCATGGTGCTTTTTCATCATACTGTATGACTGCTGGCCAGTGTATTCGTGTCTTAAAATGCTCTTGTGTAGCTGACATGATCATCAGAATCTACTGGGCTTGTTGTTAATAAATAACATTGCCAACATGAGTACAACCTGCTCATACAGATTGCTGATACTGTAGCTTAAGCTTTGTCCAGTTTTCACTATCAAAGTTTTCCATTGATTCCCTGCAAATGAATGGTTTGTATCATGGAGATAATGAATGGTTTGTATCATGGAGATGATGAATTGCTGTAACAATGCAGTTGTGTGTTCTAGAGTTGTCACATGACTAGTTAATAATTCCATCTGTTTCCCTTTTGTCATGTCAAAATGTTTTCTCTGCACTTTGCACTTCCTTCTGTAAATCTGAACCATCTTTTGTTTGAAGGAACCCCACCCCTGGCATATTGATCAACAGACCAAATGGCACAGATGTGTATAAGGGAGTTCCTAAAGACTACACCAATGATGTGAGTGCTTCACTTCAAGTATTTGTACAAGTGTAAATCTGAGTTCGTGAATTATTGTTTTGCAGTACTCGTCACATTTCGATTGTTCAGAGGCGTTAAAGCAAACTCTGTGATTCATGACTGGGTGTTTGTTTTCTGCAGGCTGTGACCCCACAAAATTTCCTGGCGGTGTTGAAGGGTGATGCCTCAGGAGTTAAAGGTGGATCTGGAAAAGTCCTGAAGAGGCAAGTGATAAAAGTAAACTAGAGAAAGGGATGGAGTGGTGAATCAAACACCACACATCAGAACATCACAATCAGGTTTTTCAGGTGTGTTGTTTTTAACCTTGTTCACTTTGTCTTGGCAGCGGCCCCAATGATCATGTGTTCGTGTACTTCACTGACCACGGGGCACCCGGTATTGTGGCGTTTCCTAATGATGATGTAAGCACTTTTTTACTTCTTGGTATCAGTAGTGTTCACTTGTGATCTAATTTACAGCAAATGCAGCTGGTTCTTCACTGTGTTTTTATGAATTAGTAATTTATTTTTGAAACAACACCGTGAAGTATTATTAAGTGAGGGCACAGGCGATGGCATATTGCAGAGGTCACAGTCTCTGAAATGTTTACAGTACAAATACAGCTCTCACAGAAATGGTTGTTGGATGTCTTTGTGTTTTCTGGTCAAAATGCTCTGGTTTATGACTAAATATCTGCAAATCTGGCTTTGTCATGAGCTGGAGTTTGTGTTTAGTGATATTTAGCAAATATTAGCTTGCTAACACTCTAAACTAATATGGTGAACATGGTAAACACACCTGCTTAACATCTGCATTTTAGCAGCATGCTGAAAGTAGCTCAGAGCCCCCAAAGAACAAAAAGCTTGATTTAAATCATATCTGATCTGAGAATAGGTAAGCATCTACAAATCAGACTAGAAACTTAACAGTGCTTTAGATACTTGACAGATCTGGACACCCATTACTATATGCACATTATTTGGTATCAAAAGGGAACTGAGATTTCATGCATGGTCAGTTAACCTGTCAAATTATTGAGCACATTGACATCCCTGTAACTAAAATTATGGGTCACAACAACCATAATAACTACTGCATATGTGTTTGATATGCTCCTGAATATAAAGTACATTTCATCTGGATGTGCAGAGTACTACAGGTGTGACTGGTGGTTTACCTGCTGTGAAACGTTAACATTAATAGTACGTTTGTCTCCCTCTCCCTCTCTCTCTCTGCAGCTCCATGTTGAAGACCTGCAGGCAGCCATTAAATACATGCATGACAATAAAAAATACAAAAAGGTATGCAGCAACATGCTGTTGTGTAATTTGTTAGGCCTACGTGTGCTGTGTATACATACAGACTGCATAAGTGTGGCTCTGTGATAAAATGGAATCAGGTGATGAAGTAACTGTGCTGGACGATCAGATCATGACACTTGTTTGTGTCTTTGCTCTGTTCCTCACACTCATTGACAGATGGTGTTCTACATTGAGGCATGTGAGTCCGGGTCAATGATGAACAACCTGCCTGATGACATTGACGGTGAGTTGAACTTTACCTCGTCAGAATCTCCTCCCAGTTAAACCAGGAGATAATGAACCGGCACAGATCAATCAAATTCAAATCAATTTTATTTGGATAGCGCCAAATCACAAAGGTGTCTCAGGACACTTTACAAAGTAGACCTTAGTACTAATAATATTATAGAGGAAAACCCAACAAATCCCCCTTGAGCAGCACTTGGAGACTGTGGGAAGAAAAAACTCCCTTTAACAGAAGAAACCTCTGACAGACCCCGGATCTTGGTGGGCGGCCTTCTGCCTCGACCGGTTGGGGTGAGTGGATAGAGGAGAGAGGAAAGAAGAAAAGCAACAAGATACAACAATCAAACACTGATCAGGTCGATGTGGCTGGTGACTGCTCATCAGAGACGTAGAGCTCCAGGGCCAGGGCAACCTGCAGAAAGGTACAGAGAGAGAGAGGACACACTACGGGAGAGAGGAGACACAAAGTTAGTAATGTGTAATGGTGGCATATAGAAGCATAGGGAGAGAGAGGAGAGGAGCCCAGAGCATCATGGGAGGACCCCCAGCAGCCTAGGCCTATAGCAGCATAACTAAGTGTCACCTGATCCAGCCCTAACTATAAGCTTTATCAAAAGGGAACGTCTTAAGTCTACTCTTAAAGGTAAGGAGAGTGTCTGCCTCTTGAGCTGAGAATGGTAGCTGGTTCCACAGGAGAGGAGCTTGATAGCTAAAGGCTCTGCCTCCCATTCTACTTCTGTGGACTCTGGGAACCAGGAAACAAGGTCAAAGCTTGTTTAACACTTGTTTTACATCCTGCTGCAGTAGGCTGAGGTAAGCACTGTGGTTTTTAGACTTCAGTTTTTGTAAGTACTGTGTCATTGCTGGTTAGACACTGATGTCAGCATTATGGCCTGTGGTAATTTGGCAGCGTAGTCACTGTCATGTGCTTGGCCTCATGTGATGAGCATAACGTGGGCATGTCATGGATCAAGGTTCTGATTTTATTATGTGCAACCAGAGATGGTTTTCACATCCCATTTTTCTACATGCCATTTGGGGTCTATATTACTAGCTGAGATATTTCAAGTCCACATGTGAGGTGAAGGTTTTATTCCATTTAACTTTCATTTCCCTCTGAGTCAGCAAACTGTCTCTCACAGACGGTGTTGTTTAGACATGTTTTGCTCAGCAGACATGCGAGTTATGTTCAGATTTGCCTACAGGAAAATGATGCCAAACTGTTACCCTCATTAACATAAGTAATGTGTTTGTGTTTTTCAGTGTATGCCACCACAGCAGCTAACCCTCATGAGTCCTCTTATGCCTGCTATTATGACGAGAAGAGGGACACATACCTGGGCGACTTGTACAGTGTTAGCTGGATGGAGGACTCTGATGTGGTGTGTTATGTTTCTCCTCTTGTATTTGAATCACAGAACCCACAGTATGCTCAGTTAGTTTCTTTTTTTCCACCCACAGTTTTCAGTTTCTGAGTTCAGCATTACAGCTGTCCCTTAGATCAGGGGTGCCCAAAGTGGGGCCCGCGGAACATTTGTTTTGGCCCGTGGGGACATTTCTTGGCCCCCCACAATTTATTATGCCACCCCAGTTGTCAGGTCAAGCAGCTCCCAGCTCAGCTCGCAACCCGCCAATAAAACAAGGAGAAGAAGAAGAAGAAGAAGAACAACAACAACAACAACAACACGAAGAACGGCGAAGTATCAA